GAAATACGTATTGCCCTCAAAACGTCAAGCAATATTTGTGTGTCTGCAAAACCTGAGTAATGGTGGGGGGTGGTGGTGGGTGGGGAGGTGTGTGGTGGTGGGGGGAGGGTGTGTGTGGTGGTGGTGGTAGGTGGGGGGTGGTGGTACTGATGGTTGTGGGGGTGGTGGGGAGGGAGGGAGCAAAATATTTGTCAATTGTCATTTTTAAAGTTTAATTAATTTGTTTTTTCTACTTTCTCACTTGTGTGTGTGTGTGTGTGTGGTGTGTGTGTGTGTGTGTGTGTGTGTGTGTGTGTGTGTCTAGCATGATGCACTACCACAGAAGCACACTATTCTGACAAAGTTATTCGATGTTGCTATTCTCATGTATAATAAAGCTAGGTTTACTTCTGTTGTGTGTGTGTGTATGTATATGTATATGTATGTATGTATGTATGTATGTATGTATGTATGTATGTATGTATGTTCGTCTGAATGGGGAACAGGGGAGCACAGGCGTTGGTGTAGTTTTTTACGAGGCAAATATGAATATGTATGCAAGGAAAAGTGTTTCATTTGATCACGGTGCCAGGCTTGAAACGGGGGAGAGTAAAGGATGAGTGAAAAGGGGGGATTAAGGGTGGATGAGGGAGAGCGTAGAGGTGGATGAAAGGGGGGAGGGAAAGGAGAGTAGGGAGAGAAGGGAATGCTGAGAGAGAGAGAGAGAGGTCTCAATGATGATATTTGGGACAGTTACATTTTGATTCTCAATGTTGGCTCACTGTTAAATTATTTTTTTTTTTCTTATTTGGCCTACTTATTTTTCTTTATCCACGACTTCTATGGGAACTCCAGGTGTGAAATGGAGACAGAAAATAATGAATAAAGGTGATGTATAGTGTAATGGTGGTGAAGTGGTGAGTGATGATGGTGGTGTGGTGATGATGGTGGTGTGGTGATGATGGTGGTGGTGATGATGGTGGTGTGGTGATGATGGTGGTGTGGGTGATGATGGTGGTGGTGATGGTGGTGGTGGTGATGATGGTGGTGTGGAGGATGATGGTGGTGTGGTGATGATGGTGGTGTGGGTGGATGATGGTGGTGAGGGATGATGGTGGTGTAGGTGATGGATGGTGGTGTGGTGATGATGGTGGTGGTGATGGTGGTGTGGTGGATGAGGTGGTGGTGATGATGGTGGTGAGGTGATGATGGTGTGGTGATGATGGTGGTGTGGGATGGTGGTGTGGTGATGATGGTGGTGTGGTGATGATGGTGGTGCGGTGGATGATGGTGGTGTGGTGATGATGGTGGTGTGGTGGATGATGGTGGTGTGGTGATGATGGCGGCGTGGGTGATGATGGTGGTGTGGTGATGATGGTGGTGTGGTGATGATGGTGGTGGGTGGATGATGGTGGTGTGGTGGTGAGTGCGGTGATGATGGTGGTGTGATGATGGTGGTGTGGTGATGATGGTGTTGTGGTGATGATGATGCGTGGTGATGATGGTGGTGGTGGTGACGATGGTGGTGTGGCGGATGATGGTGGTGGTGGACGATGGCGGTGCAGGGTGGATGGTGGTGGTGCGATGACGATGGTGGCGTGGGTGATGGTGGTGGTGTGGGTGATGGTGGTGGTGTGGTGATGGCGGTGGTGCGGTGATGGTGGCGGTGTGCAGGTGGTGGTGGTGTGGTGATGGTGGTGTGGTGGATGGTGGTGTGGTGATGATGGTGGTGTTGGTGATGATGGTGGTGTGGTGATGATGGTGGCGTGGTGATGGTGGTGTGGTGGGATGATGGTGGTGTGGTGATGATGGTGGTGTGGTGATGATGGTGGTGTGGTGGTGATGGTGGTGTGGTGGATGATGGTGGTGTGGTGATGATGGTGTGGTGATGGTGGTGGTGTGGCGTGATGGTGGTGGTGTGGTGATGATGGTGGCGTGGTGATGGCGGTGGTGTGATGATGATGGTGGTATGGTGATGATGGTGGCGTGGTGACGATGGCGGTGGCGACGATGGCGGTGTGGTGGGTGACGATGGTGGTGTGGAGATGACGGTGGTGTGGCGATGACGGTGGTGTGGTGACGGTGGCGGTGGTGGATGATGGTGGTGGTGGCGATGGTGGTGAGGTGGCGATGGCGGGTGGTGACGGTGGTGGTGTGGCGATGGTGGCGGTGTGCCGATGGTGGCGGCGTGGTGGTGATGATGGTGGCGATGATGGTGGTGCGGTGATGATGGTGGTGATGGTGGGTGGTGTGGTGGATGGATGGTGGTGTGGTGTGATGATGGCGGTGTGGGTGGATGGTGGTGGTGTGGTGATGATGGTGGTGTGGGTGATGATGGTGGTGGGTGATGATGCAGGTGCGGCGATGATGGCGGCGTGGGTGATGATGGTGGTGTGGTGGTGATGATGGCGGTGTGGGTGATGATGGTGGTGGCATGATGGTGGTGGGTGATGATGGTGGCGGGTGATGGTGGTGGTGATGACGATGGTGGTGGGTGATGGTGGTGGTGCGGTGATGGTGGTGGTGTGGCGATGGTGGTGGTGTGGTGACGGAGGTGGCGGATGGTGGTGTGGTGACGATGGCAGTGGCGGATGGTGGCGGTGACGACGGTGGCGTGGCGACGATGGCGGGGCGGCGATGACGGCGGTGCGGCGGCGACGGCGGCGTGGCGGATGATGGTGGCGATGATGGTGAGTGGGTGATGGTGGTGGTGTGGTGATGATGGTGGCGTGGTAATGATGGTGGTGGTGGAGATGGTGGTGTGGTGAAGATGGTGGGTGGGTGATGATGGTGTGGTGGTGGTGGTGGTGTGTGGTGATTGATGGTGGTGAGGTGGTGATGAGTGGTGGTGTGGGTGATGGTGGTGGTGAGGATGATGGCGGTGCTGGGTGGAGTGGGTGATGATGGTGGTGGTGGTGATGGTGGAGTGGTGATGATGGTGTGGGTGGGATGATGGTGGTGTGGTGGGTGGTGTGGTGGTGATGGTGGTGGTGATGATGGTGGTGTGCGATGATGGTGGTGCGGTGATGATGGTGGTTTGGTGATGATGGTGGTGATGATGGTGGTGTGGTGGGTGGATGATGGCGGTGGTGGTGATGATGGTGGTGTGGCGGGATGACGGTGGTGTGGTGATGATGGTGGTGTGGTGGTGGTGGTGGTGGTGTGGTGACGATGGTGGCGGTGTGGCGACGATGGTGGTGCGGGTGACGACGGTGGTGTGGCAGATGATGGTGGCGGGTGGATGATGGTGGTGTGTGGTGATGATGGTGGTGTGGTGATGATGGTGGTGTGGTGATGATGGTGGTGTGGTGATGATGGTGGTGTGGTGAGATGGTGGTGTGGTGACGATGGTGGTGTGGTGATGATGGTGTGGTGGAGTGATGGTGGTGTGGTGATGATGGTGGTGTTGGTGGATGATGGTGGTGATGATGGTGGTGTGGGTGATGATGGTGGTGTGGTGATGATGGTGGTGTGGTGATGATGGTGGTGTGGTGGGATGATGGTGGTGTGGTGGTGGGTGATGATGGTGGTGTGGTGATGATGGTGGTGTGGTGATGATGGTGGTGTGGGTGATGATGGTGGTGTGGTGGTGATGATGGTGGTGTGGGTGATGATGGTGGTGTGGGTGGTGATGGTGGTGTGGTGATGATGGTGGTGTGGTGATATGGTGGTGTCTTAAGGAGAGGGGGGATTGTGTGTATGGATTTTCTCTATCTTTTATCTCTTTCACACACACACACACACACACACACACACACACACACACACACACACAAAAATGCACAAGAAAGTGAGAGGAAGAAAGTAACATGAGGGAAGTGAGGGAAGAAAGAAGAGGAAAGAAAGTGAAGGAAAGAAAGTAAGAGGAAAGAAAAGTGAGGAAAGAAAGTAAGAGGAAAGAAAGAGAGAAAGAGGCCGCGGTTGACTGGACGGGACACACGGACAATTTTCCACAAGAGTGAAAAAGGCCAACTGAGCCTGACTGCCCTGTTGGAGGACTGTTGGAGGAGCACTGTGTTGGAGGACTGTTGAGGAGGCACTCAGTTGGAGGACTGTTGGAGGTGTGTACTGTGTTGGAGGACTGTTGGACGAGGCACTGTGTTGGAGGACTCTGAAGGTGGTACAAAGCTGGAGACTGTTGGAGGAGGCACTGTGTTGGAGGACTCTTGAAGGTGGTACTGTGTTGGAGGACTGTGGAGGAGGCACTGTGTTGGGAGGACTGTTGGAGGAGGCACTGTGTTGGAGGACTGTTGAGGTGGACCTGAGTTGGAGGACTGCTGGAGGAGGCACTGTGTTGGAGGACTGTTGGAGGAGGCACTGTGTTGGAGGACTGTTGAGGTGGTACTGTGTTGGAGGACTGAGGGCACTGTGTGGAGGAGGCACTGCTGTGTTGGAGGACGAAGGTTACTTGTTGGAGGACTGGAGGAGGCACTGTGTGAGGACTGTTGGAGGAGGAACTGTGTTGGAGGACTGTTGGAGGTGGTACTGTGTTGGAGGAGGCACCGTGTTGGAGACTCTTGAAGGTGGCACTTGTTGGAGGACTGTTGGAGGAGGCACTGTGTTGGAGGACTGTTGGAGGAGGCACTGTGTTGGAGGACTGTTGAGGAGGCACTCAAGTTGGAGACTGTGGAGGTGGACTGTGCTGGAGGACTGTTGGAGGGAGGCACGTTGGGAGGACTGTTGGAGGACTGTTGGAGGAGGCACTGTGTTGGAGGACTGTTGGAGGAGGCACTGTGTTGGAGGACTGTTGAGGACCCTGAAGGTGGTACTTGTCTTGGAGGAGGCACTGTGTTGGAGGACTGTTAGAGGAGGCACTGTGTTGGAGGACTCTTGAAGGTGGTACTGTGTTGGAGGACTCTTGAAGGTGGCTTTGAGGAGGCACTGCTGGAGACTCTGAAGGTAGTACTGTGTTGGAGGAGGCACTGTGTTGGAGGACTCTTGAAGGTGGTACTGTGTTGAGGACTCTTGAAGGTGGTACTGTGTTTGAGGAGGCACTGTGTTGGAGGACTCTTGAAGGTGGTACTGTGTTGGAGGAGGCACTGTGTTGAGGACTCTTGAAGGTGGTACTGTGTGAGGAGTCACTGTGTTGGAGGACTCTTGAAGGTGGTATTGGAGGAGGCACTGTGTTGGAGACTCTTGAAGGTAGTACTGTGTTGGAGGAGGCACTGTGTTGGAGGACCTTGAAGGTGGTACTGTGTTGGAGGCGCACTGTTGGAGGACTGTTGGAGGAAGTTAGGGCCAGTGACGGGGCAAGTGCCCTGAACTTCCACTGCTCGATGGATACTTTAAGTGATGAAGATGATAAGGCACTGTAGAGGCCAGGTACTGTAGAGGCCAGGTACTGAGGCCAGGTACTGTAGAGGCCAGGTACTGTAGGGGCAGGCACTGTAGAGGCCAGGTACTGTAGGGCCAGGTACTGTGGGAGGCCAGGTGCAGAGGCTGGACACTGTAGGGGCCAGGTACTGTAGGGGCCAGGTACTGTAGAGGCCAGGGTACTGTAGAGGCCAGGTACTGTGGGGCCAGGTACTGTAGGGGCCAGGTACTGTAGAGGCCAGGTGCTGTAGGGGCCAGGTACTGTAGAGGCCAGGTACTGTAGAGGCTAGATACTGTAGAGGCCAGGCACTGTAGAGGCCAGGTACTGTAGAGGCCAGGTACCGAGACACCAGGTACTGTAGGGGCCAGGTACTGTAGAGGCCAGGTATCAGAAACAGGTACAGAGGCCAGGCACTGCAGAAGCTAGTACTGTAGAGGCCAGGCACTGTACAGAGGGCCAGGTACTGTAGAGGCCAGGTACTGTAGGGCCAGGCACTGTAGAGAGGCCAGGCATCTGTAGGGGGCCAGGTACTGTAGGGGCCAGGTACTGTAGGAGGCCAGGCACTGTAGAGGCCAGGTACTGTAGAGGCCAGGCACTGTAGAGGCCAGGCTTGTAGAGGCCAGGTACTGTAGAGGCCAGGCACAGTAGGGGCCAGGTACTGTAGGGGCCAGGTACCGTAGAGGCCAGGTACAGTAGAGGCCAGGCACTGTAGGGGCCAGGCACTGTTGGGGGCTCAGGGGCCAGGCACTGTGGGGCAGGTGACTGTTGGGGCCAGGTACTGTAGGGGCCAGGCACTGTAGGGCCAGGTACTAGAGGCCAGGTACTGTAGGGGCCAGGCACTGTAGGGGCCAGGTACTGTAGAGTGCTTGCAGTACTGGTAGAGGCCAGGTGCTGTGGCCAGGTACTGTAGGAGGCCAGGTACTGTAGGGGCCAGGTACTGTAGGGGCCAGGCACTGTAGAGGCCAGGCACTGTAGAGGCCAGGTACTGTAGGGGCCAGCACAGGACCAGGCACTGTGGAGGCCAGGTACTGTAGAGGCCAGGTACTGCAGAGGCCAGGAACTGTAGGCCAGGACTGTAGAGGCCAGGCATCAGAGGCCAGGTACTGTAGAGGCCAGGTACTGTAGGGGCCAGGTACTGTAGACAAGGGGAGGTGACTAAGACTCCAAGGCCAGCAGCAGGGAGGACGAGGAGGAGGGAGGTCATGCAGGAGGAGGAGGACAGGAAGAGTAAGACATGGGGAGGACGAGGAGGAGAAGGGACATGCAGGAGGAGGAAGGAAGGCATGCAGGGGAGGGACAGGGAGGGAGGGTCATACAGGAGGAGGGACGAGGGAGGAAGGAGGAGGACGCATGCAGGAGGAGGACGAGGAGGAGGAGGGAGGAGGTCGCCAGGAGGAGGACAGGAAAAAAGTGCAGGGAGGACGAGGAGGAAGAGGAGGACATGCAGGAGGAGGAAGAAGACATGCAGGAGGACAGGAGGAGGAGGAGGGGAGGACGAGGAAGAGTAAAAGACATGCAGGAGGACAAGGAGGGAGGAGAAGAGGAGGACAGGGAGGGGGAGGAAGAGGGAAGACATGCAGGAGGGACGGAGGAGAGGAGAAGAGGAGGTCATGCAACAGGAGGAGGAGGAAGAAGACATGCAGGAGGAGGAGGAAGAGGAGGACATGCAGGAGAGAGTGATGCATTTTCCTCCCTGTTGTCTCCCTTCCTTCCTTCCTTCCTTCCTTCCTTCCTTTCCTTCCCTTCCTTCCTTCCTTCTCATCCATACCTTTCCCTCCTTCCCTGCCACCACCCCACCTCCTCCCCACTCCATCCTCCCCTCTCCCTACTCCATCCTCCCCTCCACCACTCATCCCCTCCACCACACTCCCCCTCCCCTCTCCACCACCTCCATCCTCCCCTCTCCCACCACTCCATCCTCCCCTCTCCACCACTCCATCCTCCCTCTCCACCTCCATCCTCCCCTCTCCACCACTCCATCCTCCCTCTCACCCCACTCCTCCCTCTCCCACCCTCCATCCTCCCTCTCCACCTCCATCCTCTCTCTCCCACCCTCCATCCTCCTCTCTCCCTCCATCCTCCCCTCTCCCACCCTCCCATCCTTCCCCTCCCTTACCCACTCCATCCTCCTTTCCTACTCCATCCTCTCTCCCACCCTCCCATCCTCCCCTCTCCCACCCTCCATCCTCCCCTCTCCCTCCATCCTCCCTTTCCCTCCATCCTCTCTCCCACCACTCCATCCTCCCCTCCACCACCCATCCTCCCTTTCCACCATTCCATCCTCCTCTCCCCACTCCATCCTCCCCTCTCACCACTCCATCCTCCCTCTCCACCCTCCATCCCCCCCTCTCCCATTCCATCCTCCCTCTCCACCCTCCATCCTTCCCTCGCCCTCCCATCCTCAGAGTACAGGAGGCTACCATATCTTCCACTCCATCCCACCCACTCAGGAGAGGGAGAAGGGTATGAGGGGGAGGAAGGGTGAGGAGATAAGGGGAAGGAAGAGAAGTAGGAGGGAGAGAGAGAGGGGAGAGTAAGGGAGATGGGAGGAGGAATGAGGGGAAGTAAGGAGGAGGAGGAGGACGACAAACAGGGAGAATAAGAGCAGCCTGAAGGTGGTGTGGAAGGCAAACAACTCCCCACATATTGACTGCACACACACACACCTCTGGCACTCTTAACTCAACCTGTGTGTGTGTGTGTGTGTGTGTTTTGCAGCAGTGTTGTATATCTTTCTTGTTAGTGTTTCAGACAACACACAAGCAGTAATGAAATCTAACAATTGTGGTACCACACACACACACACACACACACACACACACACACACACACACACACACACACACACACACACACACACACACACACACACACACACACACACAGAGAGAGGCCTGGTTATTCTACTAAACTATTGACAACTTTAAATCTATTGTGTTTTAAAGCTTTTCTCTCTCTCCTCTCTCTTGTGGTGTTACTTTAGGTTGGCCATGAAGGGCATTAGTAGGAGACTAGTAGGGCCCTAGTAGGGACTATTAATAGAGACCATAAGGAAGGACCATTAGTAAGGCATTAATAAAAGAAACACACACACACACACACACACACACACAGGAACACCCTGAGGCCCAGGTGTATCATTCATGACCAAGGTATACTGAAGGTGTGTCTTACCTGGATGTTTCCTACAGCCGTGAGATGGTAAACCAGGTGTGTGTGTGTGTGTGTGTGTGTGTGTGTGAAAGTAGATTTAATACGGTTTCCTACATCCTTCCTAGGTCCAGAGCACACAGAGGGAAGGGGAAAAGGTGGGCCATTCTAACCTCGTTCCCTTCAATAATTAGATCAAAGCTGAGGGTACATAATAGTTAGTTGTGCCTATTGAATGCTTCCCTATTATGCTATTTCCTATTACATTCACAAATAGGTTAAGCTTAAAATTACCTGACCTAAGTTTATTCTCTGTTAATCACTATTTCCCCTCAATATATAGGTCAGAGGTTATTAATGTTTGGTGAGGAGAGGGAAGAGGTGAAATAGGGAAGAGATGAGAGGGGTGAGAAGAGGTGATAAAGAGGAGAGGGAAGAGAGAGAGACGGAATAGCCAGGAGAATAGGAAGGAGGAGCAGAGGTAGGTCAAGAGGAGAGGTCAGAGGTGGTGAGGGTGTAAGCTCCATTCATATCAGCACTGGTGGCCCCACTGTCAGAATACCTGCCTGCCGCTTCCTTGAACACCAAAGTCATTTTACTCGCTTTATTTAGGATTTTAATATCCCGGCAATGAGTGAAATGTGTAACACCCAACAATAGTTGTGCTGGTCAGCCCTGTCCTACACTGCCACCACACACCACGCGCTGCTGTGTGTGTGTGTGTGTGTGTGTGTGTTGGAAAGGTGTTGTGGTGATAGTAGTAGTAGTGGTAGTTATGGTGTTGGTGATAGTGGTGACGGTGAGAATAGTGGTGATAGTGGTGGTGATAGGGGAGGAGGAGGGAATGGTGGAAGGAGGTGGTGGGAAGAGGTCGAGGAGGAAAGTATGTGGGAAGACAAGATGGTGCAGGTGGAGAGAGAGAGAGAGAGAGCCTGGCAGACACACTTCTATAATCATCCAAAGCTTGTCAACAGAAGACATTAACAAACTTGAGCAATATTCTCAACAATACACACGAAGTAAAGTATTTCCCGTGTATTTCTCTCTCGGTCTGGAAATACAACATACACCCCAGATGCATTTTACGTATGCGGATGTATGTCTGGGAGAATCGTTGTGTCGTGAGTAATAAAATAAATGTTAAAATTCAAAGAAAATCATAATTACTTAATTTGATTCTTGAGGGAAGGAAATGCAATCTTGTTTTATTGCTGTAACCCTGATGTATTGAGCTGCATCAGGTGACACCATCTGAGAAGAGTACAGAGCCATCTACGAGGTACTGACACCATCTGCCCTTAAAACGCCAGCTAGGAGGTATAACACCAGCTGGGGGAGGAGGAAGGAGGCTGAAAGTAACAAGACGCACATGTCTGGTTTATAAGACACACACACACACACACACACACACACACACACACACACACACACACACACACACACACACACACACACACACACACACCATATGACCCTGGGCTAAATATACCCAGAGAATTAACATGGAACGAGGCAAGGAAAACCCAATGGGTGTTTTACTGAGTGAGTTATTAAATGACTCTTAGGGGTAGACGTCAGGAGGGGGAGGGGGGGCAGTGTGAGGGGGGAGAGATGGGGGTATGGAAGTGAGGGTGGGGGGAGGTGAAGTGAGGGGGTGTGGTGAGGGTGAGGGGTGGGGGAGTGAAGTGAGGGTGAGGGGGTTAATGAAGGGTGAGGGAGTGGGGAGGTGAAGTGAGGGTGGGGGAGGTGGTGAGGGAGGTGGGGTTGGTGAAGTGAGGGGGGGGAGGTGAAGTGAGGGTGGGAAGGTGAGGGTAGGGGAGTGGGGGAGGTGAAGTATGAGGGTGGGGGGGTGGTGAAGTGAGGGTGAGGGGGGTGGGGAGGTGAAGTGTGAGGGTGGTGGGAATGAGGGGGAGGTGAATGTGAGGGGAGGTGGAGTGGTGGGAGGGGAAGTAGGGGGGAGGTGAAGTGGGGGTTGGGGGGGAGGTGAGGTGGTGGGGAGGTGAAGTGGGGGGTCGTGTGGTAGGGGGTGAGTGAATGGTGAGGTGATTGAAACCCCCCCCCCCCCCCCCTCTCTCCACAGTAGTAGTAATCAACTCTTCACTTGCATTACCCAACTTTTTGCTACTGCTTGAAAATTTACAGCCGCTTCTCACGCTACAAACTTCTCCCCGACTTACTTCTTGACACCCTGAACCCACCCTTACCCACCAGAACCCACTCTTGCCCACCAGAACCCACCCTTACCCACCCCCAGATCCCATTGTGTGAATTGAGTTTACTTGGGGTAGTGTTTGTAATGATTGTGGGTCTATGATGCTGTTTTCTCTCTCTCTCTCTCTCTCTTTCTTTGGTTCCTCATCCTCTTCTTCGTCTTGTTGTTCTTCTTGCTCCCTCATCTTCTCTCATTGTCCTCCTCCTTTTCTTATTCCTTCTTCTTATTCTGTCATCATTATCTTAACTCTAGTGTTTGTTTGTTTACAGATGAGTGCCGGGGGGAGGTGTGGGGAGGCGTCCACCATCACCACCTGCTGCCCCGTCGCCCCACCACCCCGCACAGCACCTTCACCTACGCCTTCTACCCCGACGACGAGGTCTTGGAGGGGCGGAAGGTGTACAAGAACCCTAGGAATGCCCCGTCCGTCTCCTGCCCCAGGGATGAGTCCGCCGTCAGGAGATCGGTGAGTGCCCTAACCTAACATTACGTAAACCTAACCAAACCTAAATTGGTGCCTCATAATGGTGGTTCAGCATGGTGTTTTGTAATGGTTTTCTCATAGTGGTGCTGCATGATGGTGCTTCTGGTGGAGGGTTGGTGCTTGATCTTGGTGCTGTATGATGGTGCTTCATCCTGGTGACACACACACACACACATACAGTCTCCTCGCCTTTGTTTCTACACTCTCCCTCAGGGCTCAACTCCTCCCACGTCCTCCTACTTTA